CCCCTCCCCGGGGGTTCTTTCTTCTTTTTGGGAAATAAGGGAACACCCCCCCCCCCCCCCCTTGAGAGAGGGCCGGGGGCTTTTTTTTTTCCGGTGGCGGGGGGGGCCCCCCTGGGGGCCCCCTCCTTTCCTCTTTCGGAGGGGGGCGGGGATTCCCTCCCCCGGCCGCGGGGGGCCGGGGGAACCCCCCCCCCCCCGCCGGGGGAGCCCCCCCCCCCAAGGAACGCCCCTCCCGAGGTGTCGGGGGGGTGGAAAACCGGGGGGGGGGGGGGGGGGGGGGGGGGGGGGGGGTCCCCTTTTTGGGGGTCCCCCCCCCCCCCCCGGGGAAAAAAGGGAGCCCCCCTTCCGGGGCCCCCCTTGGTTTTCCAAAACCGGGGGGCCCGCCCCGGGGGGGGGGTTTCTTTTTTTTTTTTAGGGGGGGCCAAAAAGTTTTCCCCCCCGGAGGGCCCGGGGGTTTCCCCCGGGGGGGGCGGGGTCCCCCCCCAGGGGGGTTTCTGGCCCCCCAAGGCCGGGGTGCCCCCCCCAGGAAAACCCCCCCCACCCGGGGGAAAAAAACCCGGGGGGGGGGGGCCCCCGCCCACCCCAAAAAAAAAGGGGGGGGGGAAAAAAAAAAACCCCCGGGGGGGGGTTTTTTTTCCCGGGGGGGGGGCCCCCCCCCCCTCTTTTTTTCCAATGGGGGGGGAAACCCCACAAAATGGCCCCCCCCCCCCCCCCCCCCCCCCCCCGCCCCCGCCCTAATTCCGCTGTTCACCTGTAGCGAAGAGTGCTCCACGATCAGGCCGCTCTTCGCCTCTTCCCTCAGCTCCACCAGGCCCAAGGTCTGGCAGTGGCGGGAACGAAGCACGAGCAAATAGTCAGGCCCTGTGGACCAACCCAGCTCCCCGGCGTCGGCGACCCCTCCTTCGCTCGACCGCTTCGCCTCCACCCCCTCCCCTCCGCTCGGGCTGTCCCCGCCGCCGCCGCGTTTACCGCCGTCGCTCAGCGCTCGCACGATCACCCCTTCGGCGTCGACCCCGACCGCCCTGGACCGGAAGTCCTTGAGCAGCCCCTCCTGGTCGAGACCCAGCAGCCCCTGCTCCATCTCTCCCAGGAGCGATACGCACAGCCTCAGCACCGGGTTCCGAGCGCCGGCCAGGAAGAGGTCGAGCGCGACCAGGGACACCAGCGGCTGTGCGGCGAGCCCGAAGAAGGTCGTGATCCACTCCAGGGCGTACAGGGGCGGCGGGTAGTGCTCCGCCTCGAAGTGCGCGGCGAGGTCGGGAAGCCGGCCCCTCAGCTGCCCCTCGAGCTTGTCCATGTAGCCCGCCAGCATCGCCACCTCTTTCCGGTACATGCCGTGGAAGTGGCCCTGCCGCAGGAGGTAGAGGAAGAGGCAGAACGTCTCCCTCTCGGGGAGGCCGGCCTTCATCATCACGTCCACCACGTAGTTCTGCCCCTGGCAGTAGCCCATGTTGTCCACGTGGGCGAGCGCGTTCAGGACGCGGTTGATCGATCCGGCGAAGTCGCTCCTCGAGTCCTCCGAGCTCAGGTCGAGGAGGAGGCCGGTCGTGCCCCGGACCGTCCGCATGATGTCCCTTTGTGGTGAATCGTCAGCGAGCGCCGCCGCAGCCACGACGGGGAAAGCGATCAAACAAAACCAGTTAGAACTCTCGCCAGACAAAAACGGGTACGAGAAGCGGCAATAGTTGCAAGCACTGTGAAAAACTTGTATGTACAGTACAAGGAGCAAGAGCAAACAAACAATTAGAACTCCCGGGACTCTATTAGCCGCGACGAGAAGCAGCGACTGTCGCAAGCATTATTCAAACAAAAACAAAAGTCCGAACAAAACCATGCCTCCAGCCATCACGCCGCATCACAGAGACGTGTGGACAACACACACGAGCGACGCACCGATTTATCTCGTCCTCGGCGGCCGCGGCATGCCCCCTCAGAACCACGTACAGAGCTCGGTAGCTCGCCAGCACGGCCGGCGGTACCCTTTGCATCCAGGTCACTCCCGCGCAAAGGTCCTTCAACGCTCGAGCGTCGCATGGGGCCAGCTTTGTCCCGTTCTCCGCGAGCTGGGAGCGGGGCGACAGTGAGAGGAACCACGTATGGGCGGAGAAGATGTCAATCCCAACAGCTGCAAAATCACACACCAACCATACACTCGCCTACTACACACACACTTCTCCGGACGCATCATACATTTTGGTTTCAGGGTAGGTCTTAACGAAGAAATCAGATCTCAAAATCACAGTTCGATATAAGAAAACAAGAGTCGGATCTACCCAAATCTGAACTGAAATGGCCGTTGTGTCTTAACGGCAGATCTGCCGCATGGAAACGAATCTCTACAGTCCACTGCGAACAACCCGAGAGGTCCGCCGCTTGCCAACTGCCGGACTGCTGTTGTGACGTTGCCACACCACATGGGGAGCTATCGCTCCCGAGAAGCACACACCAAACGCGTACATGGCCTCTGTGCGGTACTGACACGATGTCTATGCATGTGAGACTTTGAATCGAGCCTCATCCGACGGAAAGCCACCAATTCGTCTGTGCCTTTGAGGTTCGACAACCCACGGGACATTGCCCCACAGACCAACACACCCCACACACGTTTTTTTTCGGCGCCAGTCACGTGCAACAACGATGCGCAGTCACCCTCCCTTTGGGTTGGCTTTTGGTGTCTCTCTCTACTCTGTGCTCGGCGGTGGATGGAGTTCGTGTGGATGGGGGTAGGTGTGCAGGCGCCGTGCATGCGAGTAGACCGTAGTCCCGCAACTATGGTTGCGGTTCACCCAAATCGGGATCTGATTAAATGACTTCACCTTTTTTCAAAACCCGATTCGGTTTTGGGTCGTCCTGTCTTAAGTCCTAAAGATTCGACCGGTGTAACAACTTTTCAGCCAATCAACAAGAGAGTTCTGTGGATCTTGCGGTCTAATAACCAAATCTGAATGTCATTGCGAGATCTCACTCCTTCGTTAAGACCTACCCTCAGAGAGTGCGGCAGCAGGTGTGGGGACCCAGGTCGGTGTAACCCTTAGCTTGGATAGCTATAAGCGAATAAGTATCGTGGGTTGGTGGTAATGTTCTTATCGGAGTACTGAGTACAGGCATAAACTGGTAGGGTGTACGACGCGAGCATAGTTACCACCGACTGTCGGCGTTTAGCAAACCGTGAGCTTCGCTCTCTTCGCCCTTGTCCCTCGTTCGTGAGATATTTTCTAGAAAGTATCATGCAAAACACGAGCCTAGCTTCGACGTTCTCCGATGTCAAGCCGGAGAGGCTGCGAGTATCTGAAACGGTCGGGTAACATGATTGTGGCGTGGCTCACGGGGATGCGTACGTTGGTGCTTCTTTACTACAAGTATATTGCGAGGTTTCCTTTCGGGACGTTGGTGTCAAGCCTCCCGCGGGTGACGCAAGATGGCATGCCCTAAAGGGGGTGTATTGACGGGAAAACGCAGCGCTCGCTCGTATTCCGTCAAACCCATCGCGCATGAATTCCGGGGCCACCTCGAGGCCTCGAGCCGGCAACAACTTGACAGAGAAAGAAAATGCATGCATACAAATGGTGCTCTGGTTCGGCGACTTTTCTCTTGCGATTTCAGAATTACATTGAATGAGTTATGCGTGTCCGAAACAACACCACAAACCACAAACGCAACGCAAACATAATTACATACCGTGGGTGCATGCACTCAGACTTTTGTCTATAGCACCGTGTCGCTGTGCCCGCTGCGAACTGTCAAAGAGCAAAGGTCAGCTATTTGGAATCGTCAGCGAATGAATGAAAGTGAAGGTGGTGAAAAACTGTCCGCCCAAGAGGCGCTTGTTACAGTTATCTCAGTACATACTGCTGTACGTTGACGCTGCAAACTCCCGGGCGGGAATCTGATTTTCAGCCGGGTGCCACAAACAGAGGCGATGGCGCAAGTAAGATGAGCTATAGGATTGTGGGGGCATACGCCATGTGACTAGCTTTCACATCCGGCTATTGTTGTCCTTGGTAGCGGGAGACATGGTTGAAACGGCTGTGGGTTATTAATTGGTTTCAATGTTGGTTCGCCAGGCGACGTCGCGGAATACATCCCCGCGCAAGAGAGGCAGTTTTCGAGACTTTCGGCGTCGAGCACTCGCGCCACCGGATGCCCGCCGAGCTCCGGGCATGCGCGTTGGTGTACCGACGAGCTTCCTGCGTGCCCCAGAGAAAAGCAAGCGCGAGAAAAGACTCGCAGCTACGAGAGAAAGAAATGTCAAAGCACGAAAAGAGACCAAATCTCACGTATGTTCCATTTTCAGAGCCTACGGAAGCTACGCACCAGCTGTTTCTCTTCTACGTTTCGATACACTCTGGTATCGCTTCATCATTTCCTTCCAAGGAGAACCTGATCGGAAGGTACAGCCAGTGTAGTTCTGGTGCTCAACGTTTCACACCTCTGTATCACCACTGCTGCTGCTGCGGGCTTTTTTTCTGCTGGGCAAGAGGTTTTGACGTTTTGACCAAGCCCGTGACTCCGACTGCTGTCTCTTGCCAGCTTGCCAGAGTAAATCAACTAACATAACACATGTAGTCAAATCATGCTAGAATGCACTTTTTCGCAAACTGTAGGTTTTGCAGACAACAATCATCCGAGCGAGCAAAAAAAACAGCAAAAGTGCAAATTGAAGCACAGCTCATGTGCGTGCGTTTTATGTAGCCTGCAGACACCTTCCGGATGAAACATACAGATCGATACACAAGGCGGCTACCAAACTGTCTTGTTGACCCTGTTACCCACGGGGGAGATATCACTGCTGTGTGCTGCTCGGGAAATCGTAGAAACACAGAACTTTCGCTGACGTTATGGATTCATTGCTAATCTATCATAGACTCTTTTCTTCGATGGAGATGGATTCGTAGGGTCATAAAATTCAGAAAAAAAAAGCTGTACGTTGCTGCTACCTGTACATAGAACTTGCCGAAAGAGGGGGGGCAAGGCAACTAAACGCTGCAAGGCAGACTATTTAGATTTGTTCGGCAGACACGTGGACACCAAATGAACAAAATCTGTTGTGCACTCCGTTCGTACTTGCTATGAACAAAAGCTGTTGTGCACTTCGTTCGTACTTGCTATGAACAAAAGCTGTTTTGCACTTCGTTCGTACTTGCTGCTTGCTCCCTGGGCGGACCAAATTTTTTTTTGGATCAATAGGGAGAGAAGGCTAGATTTCCTAAAAAGGCTGTGCGAACAATGTGCAAGGACAGTTAGTTGGTTGCGGCAGATCATCGGTGTCAATTACAGCTGCCGCAGCGCACAGTTAGACGTCTCTTGGTGTCGCGTAGTCTATGTACGGGGCGTGCTTGTCTTTTCTATTTGTAGTCGGTGACAAGCCAACAAAGTTGGATCCGTGAGATCTACCAAGTTTGCCGTGGACATGTAGTGTGTGTTGAGTACAATAGGTACGTACGTCGAAAAAAGAGTGACAGCAGCAAGTGCCAGAGGGGTGTCGGACGATACTTTTTATGCACACATTATTACGACATCGAGACTGGTGTGGTCGTCGTCGTGAAACCAAAAATAACACCGCCACACATATATTCATGTGCGTACGAAAAGCTACACGCGCCAAAAATCCACGTCATGATTCGGCTTAAGAGTAGAGGAAAAACAAGGCGGCCTATCTACAAGGCGGCCTCGTCTGCGTGTCATCAGTTAGTTACAGACCCGTTCGTGTATGAGCGTTGCTCGCGCTTCAAATGCACACGCATATACCGTATATGACACAAGATAACACACCCCCTGGACCGATTTTCAAAGCTCGATTACTCCACGACGAAGAGGATGCATAAATGAAACAATACGTTTTCGAACAGCTCTCGACGAGACGGTTCCAACGCCGCCGTTTTCGGCGCTGTGACTCTTCCTGCTGTTGAGAAATCGAGCTTTGAAAATCGGCCAAGGGGGTGTGTTATCTTGTGTCATATACGGTATGCATATGCATACCTTACCTATTTTGGGCCTAGGAACCGAAATATCCGAAGTACTTCCACAACTGGAAATTTGGAGATAGCTTATCATACATCAGGCAATGTAGCGGCGCGATCGGATGCGATGCATATTTGTATCGCGAGTGCTTTGGAGGGCCACTACCTTGAAATCGTGTCTGATCACTTAATATATGGGAGATTGACGTTGTCGAAGATTCGTTCGCCCGCAAAGCCTCTCAGCTTTTCAGTCAGGTTTACTCCCGGAGACGATATGCACCTGTTGGTGTACGTACTTTTGGATAGAAGCGAAAGCTCATCAACTGATATCTGCCCATTGCACAAGCGGAAAACGATGCAAACCACAACAACATTCGTGGCCGGCTACCTGAGGAGCTACTAGAGCCAGGCGTGCTATAGTACAGGCTCTTGCTAAGAAAGACCTGCCGCCCCGGCGTCCCCACCTTGGATGAAACACGCTCCCACAGCGCCGCTCTCCCCAGGTAGCTATACAGTTGTTGGGACGCCATGGCTGCTGGTCTGCTGAGCGGCGAACGACCATCCGAGCCTTCTCCCTTAGGACCTGTGGATCACAAAAACCACCACACACCACGACATACGCCCCCTTGTCGTCACCGCCCTCTCTGCTTGGCTGCTGTCTGGGGGTGCGCTCTGCTGGCAGGTTCGTGGTCTGCCCACAGCAGGTGTCCGGTGTCCGCCGAGGGAAGGGGTACATGATTATCCTGTTTGCACGCCCCCCCCCACCGTTTTGCCTGGTACCAGAGGCGGCCGCCGCACGATCGTGTTGCACCACACCCACGGGTCAGCCGATGGGCTCTGAGGTTTCTCGCCGCCCCCCTCTGCCTCCTTCAGTCATTCCCGATCAGCACCAGGGGTCGAAGAGTGACTTTGGTGGGGAGGTGGACATCGAAGAGGCCATCGATAAGTCTGGTTGCTCGTCCATCTACTACCGTTTGGAGGACTGCCTCGGAGAGCACGATCGAGACTGGCGACGGTGCCAAGAGCAGGTGCGAAAGTCCAGGCGCAACTACCGGGTACAAGTCGTGCTGGCTTGCCTGTTTTGTACAGACAACGCATGTGGCAACCCAGGTGTAGACAGACTACCCCAGCAGTAGCGCTGCAAGAGCACAGCAGGAATGATGTTCAACATGAGTTACGGTTCACCCAGGATCCTCGGCAGCTGAGCGAACGCCGCGGTGGCATCTACTAGGGGAGTGGAGTGAGGTCGCTCGCATAGCTGGTTTGACGTATTCGACGCCCCTACTGCCGTGCGTGTTCCCGTCGGACCCCATCATCCCTTCTGTGTTTCAGGTTAAAGCTCTCAAGGCGTGCAACGACAAGAAGAACAGGGCACGGGCTGCCGCAGAAAGAACCTGAGTAGGACTCCAGCCAGCAAGCCGGCCTGCCCCCTGCCTTAGGCCACCACACCCTGCCTGTGCCGGGGAAGTGTGCTCGCTGCACACCCGCCCTTTTTCGTGTTCCCTAGATGGGTGCGGCAAGGAGCACGCCGACGCTGCTGCACCGGTGCCTCTCGCTCCTCCTGCTCCTTCTGCTGCAGATGCAGATGGGCATGGTGTGTTGCTTTGTGGTTCCTCCGCATCCAAGCGGTGGAATACCAAGCATTGAAACGAGCAACAGCATCCGGCCGCTTCCCACCACCGCCACCTCATACACAACCGTAGTCGCAGCGTCCCGAGCCGGGGCTGAGGCGACGAGCTGCACCACCGCGATCGTAGCAGGAACAGCAGCAGACGATTCGATCAAGTCTCAGACGCGGACAACACCTTGCGCCGGAGCAGCTGGAGCGAGTCCTGATCCTTTCGCGACGCGATCAGAGTTCCAGGAGTTTGTGGGGCGGCGCAAGTCAGGCTCCCGCAGGGTGGTGCTCGACCTTCGGCCTAGGGCGGACTTTCGTCGGGAGCACCTCGAGGGATCAACGTCCATCCCCGTCGACGAGCTGGAGCCCAGGCTCTTGGAGTTGCCCCCTCCTTTCGCACAGCCCGTCAACATTGTCGGCAGCCAACAGGTATGCAATTCTGTTTTGGAGGAAGTTTCAGTTTGCATAGTCTAAATTCCCACACAACGGACGAGCACTGCTGCTGTACATGTTGATGGCAGCATGGGTCATGCCGGTTGTTCTCCGTAACTGGACCGCAGCTATTATTCCATTAGGAGCCTACAGTAGCCGTCATCAGGGTTGTGAATTAGTTGACGCTTTCATGTCCCCCTTACATGTGCATAAACCCGGGACCTCGGAGATGGATTTATCGGTTTGAAGAGTTTCGTAACGGTGAAGCTGCGCGAAAACCTAAGACGGTGGCGATTTGACATGCAGACCAAAACTGCAGGCGAAAATTCGCAGGAGGAAATAATTTTGGCGAAAAGTCGGGAGAGTGTGTGCTTGGTTTCTAAGAAACTTGGGTAAAATGATGGGTGCCTGTCGTTCCGCAGGAGCTTCGTACGGCGAGGGACTTCCTGACGAACAAAGGCTGGCAGATCGAGGAAGAAGTAGACCTGTCAGTAGCGGCTTGTACAAAAGACCCGGCACATCCGACTGAAGCCTGGCCCACCGAAACTGGGTCGACTTCCCTCCAGGTATGGAGGTGAGAAGCCAAAGGAGGCTGAGAAACGCTTCCTCATTGTTGGTCTCATGTTTTGGCGGGGGGGGGGGGGGTGTACTCATAGTCGTACATGCCGTAGTCGTTAGACCATTGACCTCGCATCCCTACAAAGCCAGGACGGAGCACGCCGGGTTCTCACCGGACCAGGCTCTCACATCACCAAGCGCGAAGCGCCGTGAGGTATTCGGCGAGTCGCATGAAGGGTGCGCTGCATCGTGCTAAGGGTGTTCGGCATCTTGTGCTTACTTCCTTTCGTACGGATGACAGCTGCGTATGACTTAATTTATTTTCTGGTGCTTTCACGTCCAGAGACACCGCGCGGGGGCGGGTCGAGTGTGCTCTTTCGTTGAGTTTTTTTTTTCGTTTTTATCGTCGCGCGGCATTATCTCCCTAAGAAGCCTTCCTGTACCCGTTCCTACCCTACACCGCTTAGCACACGCTGCCGCTGTTGCTCTGCTGTTTCTTGGTCAGGGCAAACGATTTCTTGGAGTTTTGTATGGACCGCTTCGTGCTGCCTTCGGGCCATGACGCCAGCCCTTTCCCCGGCAAAGGCCTAGTCCTAGACTTGGGCTGTGGCAGCGGCCGCGACACCGTCTACATGGCGCAGCGCTTGCCTCCTGGCACCCGCGTAGTCGGGGTCGACAACCACTCGTACGCTCTGGAAAGGGGCGCGAGACTGGCCGAACGGTGGCTGGAAGACACGTCTTCGGGGGAAGTTGCTGGTGGCAGTGGTGGAGGTGGCGGCAGCGAACAAGGCGCGACGCGATCGCAACAAGAAACCCAGACAGGCTGTTTGGGAGGGGTTACCAGTGGGGCTGTCGGACGGAGCGATACTGACGGCAGCGAAGGGGCAACGAAGGGAAACCCCCCGGAAGTGCGACAAAGGGCGTGCGAATGGTCGCTCGCCGACCTCAGGAAAGAGGGTTCGCTTGACGGAATGCGGGCTTCCATTGTCCACGGGCACCGGTTCAAGTGCGAGCGTCTGTTGCCTCTACTTCGAGATCATGTGAGGAGCACGTGGGACACGCATTGGCCCTTTGCCTGGTTGACTTGTCCATGTCCGTCCCACACACTGGTGATATCAAGGCATCTACAAACCTGACTGTGCTGTCGGTGGTGAAAAGCTTGGGGTCCTAGGACTGGAGCTGAAACTATATCCTGGTACCGCTTTTTGTCGCGTCCTTTGTCGAGCTCGTATCATGTCGTTGGTTACCATGCACTTCCTTTTCCTATATACGGCAAACCTTACGTCCATGCACACGTGTTCAGCCAGCCCGTTCGCCCGTTCATACGTTTATCTCCGCGCTTGTTGTAAACAGGTGCTGCTCCCAGGGGGCTATTTCATCTGGTCTACGTTTTTGGACACGGGATCGGAGAATCTAGTGCCGCCATGGCGACCGAGTCGCATGATGAGGTAGTTGCAACCCGCGCGTTATTCGGCCAAAAGCGTCGTGTCTCGTGGTGATTGGTCGAGTCAGTCGGCTCTGGGTTTTGCCTAATACGGCTTGTCCGTCATCGCCCTTCAGTACATGAATCACGGCTGTTTTGAAGGCGTTGTGGGTCCTGCCGGCAAGGAGGCCCTCTCCTGTTCGCCTTTCTGCATCCTTCGGAATTGTTCTCAAGGGTTTCGTGGTTCACAGAGGTTTTTCGCAAAGAATGATGCCCGTTTGTGGATCAAAGCGGTGGCAGTCAGCAATCGTAGACTGCTGTTGACGCTACCCGCTTGGGCAAAGACAGCCACGCGAGCACACACCAACCACATGCACCTCTCGTTCAGAGTGAGAAATTGACCCACTCTTTTTGTTCTATTTCGCCATCTCTGGTCCCCTGCCTGCACAAACTCGCCGTTTCCTTCTGCGCACCACCAAACGTTTTGCTGGGCCCGGTTTCTTGTCAAGACCCGGCGAGCTGGCGGACATCTTCTCTGGCGATGGTTTCGAGATCCTGGTGGACGAACAAGGGGAACTACCCACGCGGGGCTCCACGGTGCCAGCGAATTTCTTTGCTTGTCGAAAGCGACTGGCGACACCGACGAAGGAATACTGATACTGCTACTGCACTAATTTGCTGCTGCTTGTTGCATTCCAGAGAGGTGCTGTACAAATCGTTGGAGATCATGCACTGGGGTGCTGCATTCGAACCAGCTTCCAGTGTTGCAGCCCCCGCCGTTTGTTAGGCTCCTTGTTGATGCAGCAGTTGCAAGATTGTCGTTTACTTTTGGGGGCACGTTGTGTTTTTTTATCCCGCTCGGTTCGCCGGTTGCTCGCCCTTTTATGTCGAGGGTGCTGCACGCGCTGGATGTGCGCGCACAACGCGGTGTATACGTGAGCGGTATCGCCCACGTTTCAGAGGGAGAATTGGATGAACGTGTGATTCCGTTGTCGTGCAATCGTTATCGAGCTCTGCGCTGCGAGCGCTTTTTCCATACCGACCCTCGTAAGTTGGCCAGCTCTGTAGACTATTGTATAACGCTTTTTTTGGTTATACCTTCGCGACACCGAGGGTGGTGCAGCTGTGTTCGGTTGTGCAACTGCCCTCCGGCTGGTCGGCTGCATGTGACGCGGAACGTCGGAGGTACATACTTGAAATAACGCATGGTACCAAAGGTTGGGAGCGATATTTCAAGTAGGTCAATTCGATCTGGCACACGCTCGCGCCAGACGGAGCTTTGTGGTTCGTATCTCAAAGCATCAAGCCACAACTTGTTGTTCTGTTCATTCTTCGTTTTTCTTTCGTCCTAACAATCTAGAGTGTTGCAGCTAGGGGCATGGAGTGCTCAGTTCCTCCAGACGCGAAACCAATTCAACACGGGAGCTGAACTCAATGACATGTGTAAACCCTCTTACGCAACTTCCTGATCCAGCCAACATTGTACCCCAACTCGAAACACGGGCGGTACGAAGAACACTCTGACGCTCCATTCGCTTGGATTTTTATTCTACATGCAAGCCCAGGCTGCCACTCCGTTCTCACGGCCCCAAGCCAGACGTTTCTTGTGACACTCGGGATTTTTCGACCGGAAACGTCGTTACTGTAAGGTCTGTATAGTAGAAACACCGCAACTGCGTGATATCACCCTCCCTGGTACAAATCGGTTCATTCGTACGTCTAAAAATCGTTTTTCTTGACATGATGACGGCAACTCGTTCCTTGCGCACCCTTGCCCGCCCCGTGAACACTGGCACAGCAGTTCCACTATGGTCAACGAACTCATCACTCCACGCACGCGGAATACACCGTCATGATATCGAGACACGTCACACACGCCAACCGGCAACAAGAGCAAATACAAATATTCGGCCCGCGCGTCACCGGAGTCACGATACATAAAATACGCCAGGAGGGAAGAAAACCCACCGCACGACAAACAAGTCTAAATCCGCGAGACGATGTGCTCCAGAATACCCTTCCCGTCTACAACCTCCTGAACAATCATCCCCAACACGCCAATCATGGCGTACCGCCCGAGGTCGAGCTCCTGAGACTGGATCAACCGGAAGTCTTCGCCGTCTTTGGGCGCGAGACCCAGCGGGTCGAACCCAAGGTCTCTGCGATGCAACAATCGAATCGGGAAGGGTAGGGAAGAGAGGCAGACAGAGCATTAGGACTGGAAGCCATTAGTGGTGCAAGCCGAATTCCTGGGCCAGACCCTGCTCTTTCCTTACGAGTTGAATATCATCTCGGCGGGCTCAACGTTGGGGTATTACAAAAAGCGTACCCACCCAGATAAATATCAAGCATTTCAGTTGTGGACATCTGATCATCGTCCGGTGCGCGGACGTCCAACTCTCCGCAAATTACCGAGATCTACACCTTGATCGTTGTACAAGACGCTCGGCACTCACCCCGGGTAGTACTCGGTTTTCAAGTTTCCCACCCCAGTCACGGGGCTGACGGTGCCCCACGCGTCCTTGATCGTCTGTCCCTCAATGAATGCGATCATGCCCAGCGAAGCTACCCAGAACAGGGGGTAGACCGTCGCGATTTGCTGGAATGGGGGTAGGGACAGAGTGCATGCGATTTGTCAGGGCGCGGGAACTAAGATATGAAAAAATTAGCAACCAAGGGTAGGCATCAGATTTATGTCATTGATTGTGGGACACAGATTCAATCATCCTGGTGAGTTTCTTTGGCCGTCTCTGAAATTCAGGTCAACACGCGTTCGTCAATTTGTAAGACATTTTGAGACAGGGGACAGAGAGAGATTCGAAACCAGACAAACATATACTAGGTGATAAACCTGAAGCCCCAAAACCACGCACACGACCAATGACCACGAACGGACTTCGCCCAGGTTTGAACAAAGATGCACCGTGCCGCAAAACATTTAGGTGTACGGCGCAACTTCAAGGACCGAGCATGTGGTGGGTCGGGCTACCCGGGAACGAAGACGACCACGAAGAATCATATATTCGTCTGCCACTTGTTCCCATTGGCCATCACAGATTTGATGCTGCAGCCGATGAGGTGCTGGGGCCATTGGTAAATGTTTTTGAACTTGAGTGGCTTGCCACATTGGCCGGCAATACAGAGATCGGTCTCCCATTGAGGGGCCATGGCGCAAAGTGCCAAGGAAATCAAGGAGGACAACCGATATGCGGTGATCGTACCTGAGCGTGCTCCACCGCAGGGCCGATGTACGCGGGGCCCATGAACAGCGGGTGGAATACCTCGCTGACAAGGATACCCACAGCAGCCAACATCGACACGCGGCCGTGCTTCAACTCAGCCTCGCGCCACTTCTTGATTGTCTCGGGATCCTGATTCGTAGCCAACCCTGCAGGGTCGAAGTACTTTCCCTGGCAGGATTTTGGCAGGGATGGGTGAGGAAGGAAAAGGCAGGAAAGAGTCGGTGGTTACTCGATGCGTTCGCGGAAATATTGGCGGCGTAAACCGGAGGTCTTCAGTGCCGGTAGAATATGTATACTTTCTAAATACACATGACGTGGCGTGTGGAATGGCGGATCTGATGGCAGAAGCTCGCATTCAGCGTACAGCTGGGTTCCTTCCAATCACAACCTGAGGATCCGTCCCAAACTCTGTTGGATATCTACTGTAATACATGCTCTTGTCTTCGGTTGTTACCATACGAGTGATGGGAGCACGTGTCATGCGAAAATTTCAGTTGAAGCCAATAGTTCCCGGTGGTTTAGCACACCAACGTCATCGGTGATCACAATTGGGGCACCATCGATTCAACGAGGGCGTAACTTAGCATCTCTGAGCCCATGTATCCTAGTTCCGGTTTTCCTGGATTGCCATAGGTACATTGATGAATTTACCTTGTCCTGTAGACATGCACTGGGGGCAAAACACGATATGTGATTACAGCTATTCGTTCTTGGTGAGAGAGTGTGGGATGATAAGCGTTTGTTGTAGAAGGGGAGCAGATGATTGTATCTCTGTACAACGTAGACGACTGTCGTGTTCGAGAAGGCGCGTGTCATCAGCAAACGCACGTGACACCAGCAATCCTGCCATGTCAGGGGCATAATTTTTGACACCCTTTCCGGTGTTAGATTACATGATATCGGGTACCAGTTCCTCCAACGCACCTACAGCGTATCTACAGCGTAGTGAAACACGTTCCAGAGGTGCCGTGAGAGGGTGATTGATGTTCACGGTGAGTATGACACTAGACAACGGTGAGGTTAATGAGAGATTGGCCTAGACAGGTCGTAAGGCCCATCAACAGCAATGGTGTAGTCTACTGGGCGTAAGTTCCCCGTGTGATGCACGCCTGTTTTTTCACGTATAGGATGAGAGCCGAATCCACCCGGAAGCAAAAGCTTTGCTCGCTACATGACTGGTCAGCATCAGGTGTTACGCAGAACATTGTTGTGACATCACAGCACAGGATGCGTCATTCTGGAATGTGACACTTCGAACGATTGCGAAAACCAGCAAAATTGCTGTGCCTGGGTTACACCGCCAACCCACTACGACGCAAGTGTATCCGATCTACAGCAGTACCCAAGCAACACGAAACAGGAAGCATACCTCGGCCGCCATTCCGAATGGCGCACCCGGCAATGAAGCTGCGTAGTCCGAGCCTGCGGTCATCTTGGGGGTCGAAGACGCAGCGACACGCGCAATGGAGGATCGCGGCGCCGCGATCGGTGCAACGAACGCCGCCGATGAGGCGATAAGGGTAGCGGCAGTGCCAAGGAACAACTGGGAGGTGACCATCTTAGTTGAGCTTGTCTTCGAGAACAGGTAGACGAGAATGTGGTGATGAGGTAGAGACAGAGGTGTGGGGAATGGTGGATGGTGCGGTGGCTGTTGACTGTTTGGCTGTTGTGATCAGATCCCAATAATGACTCACCGCCATCTCCGTAGAGGGCGACGTCACTCCTGTGAAACGACACCAATCTCACCGCATGTTTTTCGAGACTGCTGTGGGTATATCTCGAATGGGTAGTCTTTCTGTGTGTGTTTATATTATTCCTTAATTCTAGACCGCGAACCGCGGCCAGGGCAGGGGTAGTACCTGGCGATGATATATCCTGACTAGCTTTCGTTGTGGTGTGTTTGAATCAACCGAACTACACACCTCGAGAAGCGCCGAAAATGAGTAGAGCATCTTACCTATAAAATAGTGCTCTGGTATTCCATCATGGGCTGCTGCCTCATTTCACAGTCTGGCTGACATACACTACTGCAATATTTGACCACAGATATTTTGTCTCGAATGGGTAGGCTACAGCAGTCTCAATATGGTGTGATACATATCACGAGAGGATCAGTAAATACACAACGTAGATTACGGCAGTACGTGTATCAGCAGGGTGTGGTGGGATCATACTTCTTCCGGATACCCGTCATGAACCACAACATATACTTAGACTGCAGGTGCTTTGCTGTTGTTCGGATCGCACCTCTCAGGCGTGTGAGGCTCGGAAATCCCCACGGAACTCCCCGCCAAGCTCTAAACACCTGGCACAAATCTAGCTGCACAGCAGTCGCAGTACACCCAACCCCAAGTCAACCATGACATGCATATGAACATGTACAGTCTACACACACACGCACACAGCGCGGTTCCTGTGGTGCTGCACCTTTCGAGCACGCTCCATTGCCTCCAGGCAAACAAACATGTTTCGAAAGAAACCCGAGAAAAGACTTGGACGAAGAAGAAATCAGTTCAAGCAGAGGGGGTGATCGACGTCGATCCCCCCCCCACAAAATTGCCATGGTCGTTACGATCGTTATCTCTTCGCCGTTAGGATCGTTACATTTTCGCCATCAAATCATCATTCATGTTGCCCACTCCGAAGGGCGTTGTCTTTGGCATCATTCATTCGTGCTGCCCACTCCGCCACAATTCTCCCACTCCTCCTACTTCCTGCACCCCCCTGAGAGACAGAGTGAAGAAGACAGCGAAGAAGGTGCGCCACACCGACCAATGCGACTCAAGAGGGTTAGGTTGAACACGGTAGGTAGTAAGAAGATGACGTCGTAAAATCACACAACTCGCCCCCTCCGTCTGAGCGTCCGTGGTGGCCTATGACCGCTTCATTCAACTCTCTTTCTACTTTTGCTTTTTAAGAATAGGGCGGTATCGAATGAAGAACAACTACCTTTGGGTGCTCCCTACAGTGAGCAGCTAGAAAGCCTAAGCAGATCATCGCAGCGTCATCGCAGCGTGGTTGTGTTGTTGGTAACTTTAGTATCAATCGTGGCTGGCTGGTGAATCGCATTCCGCACTTGTCTTGTTGTCGACGAGACCAGACCACTATCATTTCGCGATGCATTCTGAGATGTTGGCTAGTTTCGTCAAGCAGAGCGCCCATCAACGCTTTCTCCTAGACGGCCCACACCCCCGACACAACAAGCGATGGCCACAAGTACCCATGTTGCAGCCCGCCGGGTACTGCACGTTAGCTTGCTGCCCTTGACAACTTCGCTTCCGAGCCGCGGGAGTCGAACAACAGCGAAAGGGATGTGTTCGTTGTGATTTGATCAATTTCGTGGGTAGCACTTTGTTTTTCTTCTTATTTCACGGCCAGCTGTTGTGTGTCCGATGTCCTCCTACGAAAATGTTAAATGCCTTCAGCAGGTCATTCCGCTGCTTCTTCCCGTAAATCACACACACAAACCGTTTCTCTCATTGCTTTGCACCGCTGCTCTCGACTGGGTGTTGTTTTTCATGAATCAGGAGAATCTCAACGAGCTACAACGATCATCCTTCCCTCGGGAGCTGTCGGCGGAAGAAGAAGAAGAAGAAAGCGGAGAGGTTCCACCTACGCATACAGACACCCTACCTTAGAGAGACGTACTGCGGTGAGACGGTCTGTGGAATATTCCTATGTGTTTTTGTAGGCGGGAATAAACTACGAACAATGATGAGGACAAAATGCATGATAGGATTTTGGCTTCATGATAGAAGAGTATACGGGATACGACAAATCGTTCCGTATTGGTGTCGAACAGGTGACAGTGTCATGGAGCTGCATGACCTGTGCTGGTGTGTTGAGGGCGCGTTTTTTTCAGTGAAAGTTTCACACTTTGACTTTATTTAGTAACAACGGTTTATTTAACTCGTGCGAGTCCGTCGTCCATATATTGCAACATCTCCAGGCTGGCATGCGCCCCCAAAGTTACCACCAGTCGAGTCAATAATCTCACGCACTCTTCACCTACCAGTACAATCCATTGTTTTTTAGAAAATAGCGCACGCGAGACATGTACCAGCATGCTATATTCCATACAGTGCGACCGGAGAAGTGTGACCAGCGACAAGCAATTTCGTTCAGTTCGCCGGGGGAAGCGAAAACAGATAATACATAGACTATGCATAGAGAGCAGACGTGCAGCATGGTTTCTGTCCCATCTCACTGAATCGAAATGTTTGGCCCTGGTTTCGCAGCGCCAGCCCCAATGGAGCAAGTCTAGCTCTACGATGATTACGCGGGGGGCAGCCGCAGCCGCAGCGTTAGCTTCGGCGGCGGCAGAAGCACCAGCAACGGCAACAACAGCATCGGCAGCATCAGCAGCATCAGCAGCATCAGCACCAGCACCAGCACCACCAGCATCGGCAGCGCCGGCGGCAGCACGAACGGCACGGAGACGGGCGAAACGGCGAGTGAACACAAACGGCCTGTATACCTAGATAGTGTTGTGAATGATGACATATACAATCTACATTGCGTCGGAAAGATTATTGATGGGGAGAAAACTCCACACAAAATAACAGCGATTCGACCGACTACAGCATCTGAAATCGTATTCTGTGCACTCTGTAGAAATGCTTATCTTCTGTTTGTGTAAGCCTTGCTCGAAGTGGCCAGACAATTCTCCATCGTTCGCCCATATCAAATCACAAGTACATGTAAATGTTTTGATCTATACCCTAGACTGCGTACCCCGGGTCGTCCACAAGGACATCGACATCGATCATTGTTGCTGTTAGCTCATGGCGTGCTGTACCCGCGTACCGAGGTGCTTGAAATTCGCCCCTGGTCACGGAGAGGTTCTTCCATCGATCGATCGCCGTGACTACGCCACACGAGTGGCCCGATCTGCCCTAAACCGTGCCCCGGGTCGTCCACAAGGACATCGATCATTGTTGCTGTTAGCTCGTGACGTTTTGTGCCCGCGTATCGGGTTGCCTGAAATTCGCCCCCGGTCACGGAGAGGTTCTTCCATCGATCGATCGCCGTGACTACGCCACACGAGTGGCCCGATCTGCCCTAAACCATGCCCCGGGTCGTCCACAAGGACATCGATCATTGTTGCTGTTAGCTCGTGACGTGTTGTGCCCGCGTACCGGGTTACCTGAAATTCGCCCCCGGTCGCGGAGAGGTTCTTCCATCGATCGATCGCCGTGACTACGCCACACGAGTGGCCCGATCTGCCCTACACCGTGTCTTCGCTTGCATCGAGCATCACTGGAGTCACGGAGAGAGGCGTTAATTACTCCGTGACAAACATCACACGTATGGGCTCACCGGCTGCCCCGGGTCGTCCAAGTCGATGTCGAATAGGTAGATGTTGCATGTCTTGACAGATTGTGCAAGTAGAGCACTGAACCTAAGGAGTAAAAGCTTCCGGTTGCGCTCAAAAGCATACCTTCGTAGTTTGGAAAACGGTAGGGGGAGAGCTTCAAAGAACGAAACAACGGCAAGCTCCGAAAGGAGGCGATTAGGACGCACGTACATATATACCCCGACGTATCGCGGTCGACATGAGTTTCTCTCCCCTAACGCATAACGAACAACAAGCAAAAGACACGAAACCATCCTCCTGCCTTCCGCTCGGAAACTGATGGCAAAAGTGTGTACAGTACAGCCATGGGAACAGAAGCTGCTTTTCATTACGGGTGTGATGTAGATATCCCGTATGTAGAAATACCTGACCTGTCTTCTGTGCACACGTATATTTGCTATTACCCGCCGCGCGATAACCCAATTAAGGGAGGGATGCTGCTTGCTTGTTGCTCTAGATGCGTATTCCGCTAGCGCAGTGCTCGAGCGTTCGACTTGTGCCGCGGGCATACGTGCCCCCGAAAAGGCAACTCTGGATCCTAGCCGCGTGACGGTCGAACGAAAAATATCAGTATTAGACTATTGATATTAGTTTGACTTTCCTATCAGAAACTACGATATTCTGTCACCAACTCTTTCTTCATGTAAACTGTGCCACAGCATGAGTGAGTACAGTTTCAAATACTTCATAAGAATAATAGCACTTCACATTTTAGATGGTAGAGACACCTCTTTCTCTCAACAGTTGAGGTTGTTGTTCACTATACAACAGCAAACGCGCAAACAACAACAGCGTGCCGGCAGTCCTTAGACAAAAAGGGAAACAGGCTGGCCGGCGCTGTGTATAGTGACAGGTAACGTTCGCGTCCGTCCCACGTCTCACGCCCTACTCGTTTTTTCCTCGCTCAGCAACACATTTAAGTTGCTGACCCTCGTATTTTGCACGGATTCGGCTTGTTCCGGCCCTTGTCTCTCTTCTTCGATCTTGTTTGTCCGCTTGTCTTCGCTACAACTGCATTGGCGCCCCTCCCTCCCCTTCAGGACCTCCCCCAGCTCCGCACAAGCGTTGGCTGCCCCGCCTGGAGAGGCTGACATCCAGTGGAAAGTCGTGTTCGACGGAAACAACCGCCAGAACACAACTGTTCACCACTGGGAGTTCAGGAACATTGCCACGAGGGAGCTCATCGGGCACTCCGATGATGCGTGAGCGTGAATTAATTATGATGGTGGTGGTGGTAGTGACAATGGTTTTGAGTTCGTG